TTTCCCTGAGCCAAGCTTTTACACCCCTGGTCACCCTTATGACAGTTAGGTGCAAAAGTGTGAGGATTGAGGAGCTTTTGTGGCCACCTTCAAAGAGACAGTAAAAGGAGGAAGATTGAGAGCTATCATTTCACACAGAGACTAGTCCCTCAGCTATAGAATATAGCTATAGAGTGAAAGATGCAACAATCATTCCACTGATTTTATGTGGAAGTTTTCCCGTCATTTGTATAAGATAGTCTAGGGATGTTTATAATGAGGCTGACAGGTTTCATTGCTGATAAACACCTGGCCACATTTATTCAAAAGAACAAGTTATTATAGCTATTATATTGTCTGTGATTGACATGTGCCTCAGTGGGATGTGGGATGCAGTGAGATCTGACACATCTAAGAATTGATCAAGGTGAAATAAGCAAGTAGGGTGCATATATCCTGAAAGGAAACAGGCAGCACTGCTCTTTTGCTCTATTTCTAGTGTCAGTGTATGTTAGGTCTTGTATTCCCTGCTAAGCCCCACAAGGCCCTGAAATAGACTGACAAGCTGTCTCCATAAATACAGAATTCTGATGCCTGTTGGCTCTAGGGTACTGTGTCCTTCACTTCTAATGGAGGAATCCTGTTCATGTCTGTTAGGCCAGGGATGCAAGTTTCAGCAAGATTTTTGTCTTTTGCTTTTGCCTGGCTCTCTCCCAATTCCAAAAGGTGACTTAAGTCACAAGGTGTAGAGGCTACCTGCAACCACTTTGAACCCCATGGGCTACATAGAGAGAAGGTTTATGGTTAAATTACATAGAATGACTGTGGTGGGTGGTAGGGGGTGTGTGTATGTGGGACAGGTCAAGGCCTGCCTTTATTTATGGACAGCGTGTCATGAGAGATGGAGATAAAGCCATCAAGAAACAGGTGAGCTGCACTCTGTTACATTATCTCAACGTTGAGGTTTACTAAGACACCACACATATGCATGCAAAGTAGTTGGCAGTATCTTGTCACATAAGTGTACTACTTCCCCTTTAGTGTAGCTAAGTCTGTCAAGTTCAATAGGAGATGCAGGGCTGCAAAGCCAGGTCACAATGACCAGCAGCTGTCATTGTCCCAGCTTAACAGGTTAGAGTATCTTGTTATTCTTGACTTGTTGTGTCCACTTTGCATCACTGACAAAGAAAATGCACAGTCTGTGTGATCTAATGGCAAGATAAAAACCATCTTACATGTCAAAGGTGTCCTGGTAAAAGCATTGCTGTGTTGGATTCTTCTCAAGCACAGTTTGTGTTGTAAAATAAGGTAGAAAACCTGGCAAGATGTTGGCTTCAACAGTTGCTGCCACTGTGTAAACTTTACAGCATCTTAGTTTGTTTCTCGTATTGCACTCACACTTATTTGTCCTGTTTTTATGTTCCAAAATAACTGAAATAAATCAATCTAACTCTTTTCAAGTCATACCCACGCTGATCTTTTTTCCTGCCCATCACTGTTTGTCTGTAGCTCTGAGCCACTACCTAGCTCAACCAGCATATACTGATCAACCCTTCTGGTACAAATTGTTGTTGCTGTGGGTGTTGGTGACCTTCCTGGGGACAGCCTAAGGTCCTGTCTGAGTGGAGGTGGCGGTTTTAGCCGACTGCGTTTGCCAACACAGATGGGTTTGGATGTCCCCAGTGGCTCTGGGGGACAGAGAGCCACCTTACTGCCACTCCTTTCTGGGGTCCCCTCTTGGGAAACAGAATAGTCATTGTTCCCATTGGTGTTGCAGCCTGAAGGTTCTTGAGGGCAAGGAAGAGGTGATTCATGACCTAGAGTAAGCACTACCCCTGCACAAGAGCCAGAGCTGCCTTGTCTCTTCCGGAAACTCCCTGATTGACTAGCTTCTCCCTGTATATCTCGCTGAGCCACTCGGGTGTTTAAGTCAAGTTCCCTGGAGCCTTCTGTGGTTGAAAGGAAGCACTGCTCTGCCTCATATATCTTCTCCATCATCATATTCCTCTTGCTTTTTTGCCTCATTGAGCGCTTGATGGCACAAATGAAATCTAACACATTTAGAAAAAGGGACAGAGCAGCTGTACCAAGCATGAAGTTGAGCATCACAGTCTTCTCAGTGGGCCTGGAAATGTAGCAGTCCACTTGGGTAGTGCATGGTGGATGCTGGCAAAGGAACCTCCTGGGGATGTAGAAACCAAACAGATAGTACTGAGCTGCTCCAAACCCTGTCTCCAGCAAAGTCCTGAGCAGCAGATGTAGGATATATGCTCCAGTGAAGCATGGGGCCCAGCCTCGCTCAGCCACCACAGGCATTTTGTTTTCAGACATCTTGCTATAAGGCTCCTGGTGGATCTTGAACAGTGACATGTCTTTGATGTGACCACAAGAGTTCAGATCCACAGTGAGGGCATTTGACAATGTATGGACCACATAGATGATAAAGATGATGTAGGAGAAACACAAGGTGACGAGCTGCACCAGCCAGAAGCGGAAGAGAGAGATGGGAGAGAAGAAATCATAGCACACATTGGCACAACCAGGCTGAATGGTGTTACACACAAATCGCTCCTGTTCATCCTGGTAGAGGGGGTAACCAGCAAAAAGGAGTATCAGGATCCGGAGGAAGATCATCACAATGAGCCACACCTTCCCTGAAAGAAAAGCATTTAGTATTGAAAGGATACATATTTGACATTAACTCATAATTTAAAGCTACAATATTGTTTTGACATTATTCTTTGAAGAAATATTCTTCAGAACATATCTTAATATGGAGAGGTGCTGTCAAAGACTGCTGTGACCCAGAATAACTCAACAGCCTGACAGTGGTGTAGAAATATTCCCTTGTACAGTTAAAGTTTTAAGCAAGCCTCATACTGGACTGGAGTGGTTTGGTTTGAGTCTCATGCCGGCACTAGCTTGATTTCTAGAACCTGCATATTGTAGGTTTAAAATGTGTGCAAAATTAGCAGATTAAATAAAAACCAAAGTCCTAGAAGTCAGCAAAAATTGAGTGAGTTTGAAATTTCACCTTGAGGTGAACCACATCACAGAAAAATACTTAAATATTTAACTGCACATAAACAATACACACATTTGCATTAGTCAGACACCAGATTAATCTCTATCAGTGAAGTTAACTCACCCATCAAAGTGACATTGTGATTGACAGAGATGAAAATGGCCTCCGAGGCACTTGGTCCTGTCATGCTTCCTGCCACAGGGTAAACTCTTCAACCAGCACCTTAGGCCCTATTATGCCACTACTCCTCTGTCCTCTTCAGTGATCTTTACTAAAGAGCACAGTGGTTTTTGGCAGTACAGGAACTTCCAGGATGATGGACACAAAGTTTCCAGCAACTCTCTGACTCCGAGTCTCCCCTGGAAGTCTCTGAAAGGCTGGAGTGAACCATGTAAATACTTATGTCTCAGCTCTTCCTCAATCCCGTGCAGACAACTGTCTGTCCTCAGACAACAGAAGACAGGAGCAAGCCCCATTGTGGGTCTATTCTTAACACACTTCAAAAAGCATGTTGCTGTCCTGGCATTACAGAGATATTTTGGTGCTGCTGGCCATCCTTAGAGGAGAGGTACAAGCATCCTGGCTGCCTCACTCTAAATTGCTGTGTTAGGTTCTCAGCACAGTGGCAAGCATGTTCAAACTGTATTATATATTACCGAATATGAAGTATAAGCATTATTAATCTCGTTAATAATTTTTTGTACATTAAATGTTAGTAACAATGCATTATTAATGTACGCAGATTGTTTTTTCAGTTGGTTTTTTAATGTATATAAAATGCTAAACAAAACACTAGAGGGACATTGTTAGCTAGGTTAGTCATCTCTACACTAAATATTTGGAACAAATTAGAAATGAACCTTGTTAGAGTTTTTTTTTTTCTCAAAATGTATTTAGAGCCCTTTATTTTGGATTAACTTTGTCTTCTAAAGAAGATTAGCAGTGTGTTACCCTATGATTTCAGAATGCCATGAAGAGAAAGAATTTTGAAGTAACTACAGAGTGATCTGTAAATTCTTCCCTGAAGAGTTGGAACCAAAGCTGGAATAGCAAGGGAGGAGATGAAAGAGATAAAGGAATATTTGCATTAGGTGTTAGCAATTTGAGGCAAAGCCATTTCTGGCATAGGCCATAAAGGTGGCTGCCTACGGTGCCACCAGCTGGAGAAGTGCCAAAAGAGGAGGTGGAAATATTGTGTAATTGTCCCTGATCTATTTTAAAAGTCAGTGGCTCAGGTCCAGTGCCTCCTTTACATTGTGGAAAAGCACTGCAGCAAACACCTAAGAGAAGACTACAGACAGAAAGTGTAAGGACACTCTGCTGGGGACTGACTCTCATATAACCTGCTGTATTTCCACCTTTCTGACCCTGCAGTTTATTTGTTCACACATGAGTAACCAGGTTATATGTTTTAAGCTGATAACTTAACTCCAATCATGTCAGTGAGGCTCAACAAAAGAAAACAGAATGATAGACAATGCTAATTGTATTTGGGAGGTAGTCTTTTTACCCAACATGTATTGTGCACTGGGTCCACTGATTGTGTCAGTTGCCCTTAACATATTTCTGCCCCTGCAGACTGTGGATTTGCTCTCATAAAATATAAGTAGCCTAGACTGTTAACTATTTTCCCACAGTTGAGGCAAGTTTATGACTCATCAGGGCCAACTACTGTATTTAGTCATTTAATATGGACATGGAACAAAACTATGTTTATTCTTTAATCTTATCTTTACCATTCAAAATGTTTATTCACTTCAGGCTAGTTCTAAACCTTAAATCTGTTCTGTGCTTCAACACATGTTCATCATCTTATAGACCTTCTTCATGACATATTTTCACAGATTTTCTCTCACATGCTACATCCACCTTCTGCATGGCTAACAACAGCTGGCTTGGCTCATAACAACTACAGATCAATGGTCATTAGAGAAGGGAAGAATCTTTGTCCTCATCTTCTGTCATCACAAAAATAAGCTGCATCAAACCTACAGTATCTGTAATAAAGTTGCCATAAAGCATCTATGCCTGAGTTTATGATCGAGGAGGAAAATCTTCTATCCCACTCATGGATTATACAACATCATTACATTACTGTTATGTTTTGATCATCAAATGTTATTCAGTATATTTACAAGGTATTCCAGCAACCAGTTCATTGATGAGTGAACAGATGTTAGCTGATATTAATTAGTTCAACTCACAAGTTCATTCAGTGTGAAAGACAAGGAAGCAGCTGCTGACATCAGTGAAGCACAGGTGTACATAACACTTTTTGCACATTACTTTGGAAGTGCCCAAGCAACCTGGCTTCCTGCGTCTAACCTTTTTGTGTGCCATGAAGAACCTGTGGCATTCAGGTCTTGTTTTGTCTGACCAACAGTGCCAGACCCAAAGATATTTGGGCCTGTGGCACCTTTTCTTTGCATTGAAATGACTTGTATAGCAATTATTGAAATGCCCATTCACCTGCTTTTCCCCATTCCAAAGGTTAATATTAAATGTGTCCTTCAGTAACAATATGGCACAGAGTAATCTCTGTACTACCACTTGTTCTATGACATTTTAAGTAGTATCTTCCTGAAGAAGAAACCCTGCTAAGTCACATCTGTTGTATAATACACTGCATATCAAAATACTGTGCTACCAAGTAGAACGCATTTAAGGTTTCGCCGCTGCAGGTGAAGTGATCATTGACATTAAAAAGATGTGTACACCAGGTGTATTGCAAGGTTTAAAAGTTTAATTCTTACATGATTTTCTAAACATTTCTTTAGAAGAGCAGACATTAGAGAAGTTCTTTAAATCATGGTTGAAAACCTAACAAGAAGAAGAGAGAACAAAGAGGGTAAGAGATCTGAGTTTGGCAAATTCAGAATGAGGGACTCACTATAAAAAATATAATACATTGACAGCAGAATACTGTGAAACTTGTTGAAAGTATCAGTGAAAAATGGCAAAGTGTTAGAGCAGTTGACTTGATGTTAGCACAGAAACTCATCATTAAATTGCCATTTTAAGAGTTGAAAATAAAGAGAAAAGGAGAACTATGCAGAGGTAGAGTTCAGTGCACAAAGCAATGGCACACACGTAGTAACCTGCCAACAGGATGCCACAGACTTGAGGTCTTGCTGTCAGGAGTAAATTTTCCATCATAAGACCCACCTCAGCAACATCGGTACTTTCCTAAAGACATGGGTTTGCTCCTCATTCTCACTCAGAGCACCATGCAAGACAACAACTCTCTTTCCAAATCATGACATCTTTTTATATACTTAATGTGCAAGTGCTCTGGGTCAGAGCAACATGTACATCCCTGTCCCTTCTCTCAGCTGCTGGTCAGGATGGAAATCGCACTGACCTCACTGACTTGACAAACAACATAACTTCAGTCACAGATGTGGAACTTACCAGTGAAATGATAAAGTAAGTTAGAGTCCTGATGCAGGGTAGGCTAATGTCACATGTGAACTAAACCTGAACAGGAAAACTGAATTAAAATGATGTTTTTGGTTAATTTTCAGACATTTCCAGGTTTGGGCTCTAATTTTCTGCATACAGTGATGTATTTAAGAAAAATGGGAGTCCAGCTGATCATAAGGCAAACATCCACTATTATAGTTTATACACTGAAAATATTACATCACACTTTAATCGGCTAGTGGTTAAGGTGCAGCGCTCTCGCCGCTGCGGCCTGGGTTTGAATCAGGGTTGGAAGGGGATCCGGCATAAAACACGTGCCAAATGTCAATATGCGAGTCGTCAGTGTGACAACTCGCTGTGGCGACCCCTAAAAGTGAAAAGCCAAAAGTGACTTTAATTGCCTCATAAAACTAGAATGAATCCAACCAATTAAACTCAAAGATTTTCCAAGTTGGCCTGCTACTACATCCTTGTATGCATTTTCCTATTTCTGATTTATTAAATGTGCCAACTAGTTAGTAAGGTGTTCATAAATGAATTTTTTTTATTATTAGAGCTTTATCCTTTAAAGCAAACTTTACCACCAGTTAGGTCTACTTGATAAAATAAAACATATCGTTCACTAGCTTGTTTGTTTTTTGGCTCCTTCACTTTTCTTTTAGTGGGCACCCAATTATCATTAACTATATTCCTCACAAAACAGTTCTTTTCCCTTACCACACTTGTCCATCCAACTTCTTACTGTTTATATTTTAAGGACTATTTATGTAAGCCTGTAAAATAGAGGACTGTGTGTTTAACTAGTTGTAAACCATGGCAGCTAAACACATTGAGCACCAGTCTTTTCAGTTAGCTACATGGCTAAAGCTTACCTTTGAGATAAAACTGCTCTAGCCAGTGTACATAATGTTAATTATTCATATACCACATGCCCAGTGTTGGGGAGTAACTAGTTACATGAAACTAGTTACTGTACCTAAATTACAAAGTAAATGTAACTGCAATCAGTTACAGCTGCAGAGAAAAATGTTATTAAATTACAGTTGCTAATCAAAATGTGGGTGATTACAATGGCATTGCATCTGAATATATTCTTTTGGGTAAAACGTTGAGAATAACATTCATTCTGTTACTTTGCATCTTGTCACCGTGCAGGAATGGCTTCTTTTTGCATATTTCCAGATAACACGGGTCAGCAAATCTGTTGGGACAAATTTAATTGCAACACCATCATGGGTAAGATGTCTTACAAAGAGTAGTCTCTGCGTCTAGGTAAGCCCTATTTATTTGGCAGCATGTGTTAAATTTTGAATGTTGTTTTTGATTGGTTCTCTTGTTTGACTTTGCAGCGCCTCTCATCTGCCAATCAAATCAACGCACATCGCTCTGAATCTGTCATGCCTGGCTGTGACCATCTGACAACACCAAGGCAGGTGGTCATGTTGTCAGAAAAGAACGCTTTTCAATGCTGGAAATTCAACAGTATTTTCCCTTTTAAATCAGAAAAAGGTTTTGCTTGGTGCCCATTCAGTAGGCTACACATTTCAAAAGTAATATATTATGTAACTGAAGTTATGTTGAAAAACCTTTAATAAAAGTTTGACAGTAATCAGTGTCAAGTACCGTTGTGAGGTAGACAATTGCCTGGTTTAAATTTATGTTAGGGCTTTTCAGCTGTATTGCTTATTTAAAACATGTACGTTAGGCAGGGAAACAGAACACAGATAATTAAATGTGTACCATTGCCTAAAAAAAATTGGAAAATGACGGCTGTCAGAAAATAAAATGAAAGTGAAAGATAAAGAGTTAAATAAATTAATAAGTAGGTTTATTTATCGACTGGTGTTAAAGGAAAAAAATAAAAAGCTTTTTGCTGGCTTTAAACAAACTGGATGTTAAAGAAAAAATATGAAGCATTATATTTCTTTCCCCTCTATTTTAACTATATGTAGTAACTAATATTTACTGATATATTTTATTACAGTAGTCACTACATTTTGTCAGTATCAGGACTCCAAAACAGACAAGTCAAGACAGAACCTGGCAACGTATCCACAGGGGGGTTAAAAATTCTTAACAACAAATAACAAAATCAGCTGGAATTGTCTTGTATTATTTATATACGATACACAATATGTAACACATACAAACCTGGTATTTTCTGCAGTGCAAATGCATAACAAGACTACAAACCAAAAGAAAAAAAATCTTCCATTTAAATCGTAATACTTCTCTTTTTCCTTTAACTGATTTATCATAGAAACAAGGAATTAAACAACTGTCCCCCTCATGTGCACTATAAACAGATCCAATATAAATATTCTAACATTATTCTGTTTTTGTTTTGTTTTTACAGTATGACCTCAGTCTACACATTTGTATACTGGCACTGTATTTACACTGTACAGAGACAATTTATCAAAGATT